CGGGGGGACACGGTGCTCCCAGCAACCACCCTGGCACTCGCCCAGCAGTTGCGCTTGCCAACGCCCGGCTGTGGGCTCCCTCCGCCTGCCCCACGCTGGCTCCCAGCCCTGCCCTCCCTGCCCACATATTTTTACTCCTGCTCAGAGCCGGCTTGGGATAGTGGTGGAGCTGCCATGGCAGCCAGCGCTTCCCACTGGCGCAGCTACCTCGGGGTGATTGTGTCCCGCGAGAGGCAGCGGCTGGAGCATTTCCAGCGGGCTGAGGACATCCTGCTGACCCTGCTGGAGGGCGTCCATGCCAGAGAGCCCCGCTTCCTTGTGGACTACGCTAGGAACCTGGAAGTCTTTGAGTTCGCTCTCTGCGCCTCCGAGGATGCTGTCACTGTGGAGGTCCCCCTGCGGATTGATGGCGATGCCCTGCGAGTGCTGACATGCTGGCACGGGGACACCCCTGACGGGCACCGGCCAGGGCTGGGCACTTGCTGTCTGGCAGTGCCCTCCCTGGGGACTGACCTGGAGGACTGGACCAGCACCGTGGGTGTGATGGAGCGGGGAGGTGATGCGGGGTGCCTGGTTCCGGGCAAAGTCCTCCAGCACCTGAAAGAGCTCCTTGTTTCAGCCATCGTGCGCTGCCAACGCCGCTTCCTGCTTCAGCCAGGTGCGTATGCCGGCGCGGCACTTCCCTGCCTGGGGGCTGCCTCCAGCACAGCTGGGGAGCCCAGCTCTGTGGTGGTCCCTGAGCAGACAGGCTTGGCTGTAAGCCCCTAGGCCTGCCCAAAGCCTGCATGAGCGAGCACCCTGCCGTGCACTAGGACGGGCTTTGCCCTCAGCTAAGGAAGGGGAGATGCAAACCACTCCCTGCCACCCCATGGCAGCAGAATCATCCTTGGGCATCTTTACCCTGGGCTGATGGCACTCTCCTTGGTGGGTGGCAGCTCCATGCAGGGTTCACCCACCCCTGCCTTTAGTCCCCGGGGGGGTTTGCTCAGGGATTCGGCACACTTGGCTCGCTCTAACCACGTTCCCCCCGTCCCTCCTGGCCTCCGAGTGCCCCCTGCTCCCTGGAGGACACTGTTTGGAGGATGAGCTGGAAGCGTGTCAGGGCTGGATGGGACCTTGGGGCATGGGTCTGACCCTGCACGCACATGGGCCCCAGCTGGGAGCAGCGTCCCCGGGAAGGACATGGTGGGGAAGGGACCCTGGGATTGCCCGCAGGGGTCCCATCAGCTGCTTCATGCATTTCCATCTCCAAAGGCTCTTCGTGAAGTAAATCAGCCCTGATGGAAAGGTGATGTGAGAGGACCAGCAGATCTGAAAGTCTCTTAACCCAACCCCAGCAAGCCCACCATGCCCCGCTTCCTCCTCAGCCAAGCCAGAGCCCTTTCTCTTCCTCTACCCCCACAACCTGAGACCTTTCCTGGTCCATTTTTCTTGGACCACGTTGTTTTTCTTGGCACCTGGCAGCATGGCCTGTTCAGCCGCCCAGAGCTTCCTGCTGTGCCCACGCCTGCTGGCCTGGCCCTGAGCAGTGATACTCCTTCCCGAAAACCACCCCAGCGGGGTTTGGAGAATGGCTTTCACCGGGGAACCGCAGCCAGACCACAGTGTTGGAAAGGGATGAGTCAAGTGGGGTGGGACGTACCCATGAGTGTTGCGGCACATACCCGGTTCAGCCTGCGGGACCGGCTGCGGTAACCTCCTAACCACAGCCAAACCCTCTGTGTCTAGGTGACCTCAGCGCCGAAGATCTGCAAAAAGATGCTATGGAGCTCTCCCTGCTGATCCGTGGCGGCTGGGAGACCATCCGCTTTGATATTCTCCCCGGGGTGAGAAACTTTGTTCTGCCCCGCGGGGGGGGGGGGGGGGGGGGGAGCCACTCCGGCTGCAGGGGCGGCAGAGCGACAGGGGCTTCCCTGACGGGAGTCTCCGGAAGGCCACGGAAGAGGCTCACTTCGTCCCTGCCTCTCCCCACTGCTGGAGGTGAGCAGCTCGGCTGTGCATGTAGCAGGGTGAGCCTGCCCTGGGGATCCCACCGGCACTACTGGGTGTAGGCGAAAAGGGGATGGGAAAGCAGAGGGACATATCAACAGGGTGATATGTGAAGGTGAAGACACCCCCTCGTGATGTCCAAACCCACTGCCCTGCGTTGGGGGAAAAACCTCAGCCAAATTTCAGGCAGCTCACGGAAAGAGGTGGGGGATGCAACTGAAGGAGCCCCCTCCAAATTGTTCGCAGGAGCTGAACCCCAGCTGCATGGGGAGTGGCAGCTCTCGGATCCCTGCTCAGGCTTCAGGGGCGAGCCTGGGCACCTAGCAGGGTGGGCTGCGGGTGGGAGTGAAGCTGGGGTGACACACATCTTGCCTGCCAGCACAGCTACGCAGCCCCAAGGAGGGGCTGAGCATCCGGCTGGACCAGCCCAGGCTCATTTTGGGCAAACTGTGGTCCATCTGGATGCTCGGCCCCTCCTAGGGTCCAATCCAGCCTCCCCCCTGAGGCAGCCTGCAGCCCTCCCCTCTGCACACAGGGGAGCACAACCCCCCTTTGCGTCCCCTCTTGTCCCTCCAGGGAAGGCAGGAGCTGCTCAGCAGCATCCCCATCACACTGCAAATCTCCCCAGTCCCTCTTCTTCAGAGGTGGGTGCAGGAGGTGGACCCAGGATGCTGCGTGCCTGGGGCTGTGTGTGTGGCCAGGGGGGACCCCCATGCGTGCTGGGTCACTGAAGGTATCCTCTCCCCCACTGGGGGGATGCAGGTCTCCATTCTCCCTCTGACCAGACCCCACTTTCTCTCACCAGATCCTCCACTCACCTCCCTGTCCTGAAGCTGCTCCAGGCAGTGGACACACTGAAGGGACCCCGTCTGGACAGCCTTCGCCTGCTCGACCAGCTCCGCAGCCAGGACTGGGGAGGGGAGGGTGGGAAAGGTGGTCTCACCTTCAACCACCTGAAGGTAGGTAGGTCCTGCTGGCAGGAAGATGGCTCTCCAGGAAGAGCCAAGGCTGCTCCCCTGCACCCTGCCACAGCCAAGTCACTTCTGGAAGAAGATCCCAAGCAACAAACCCCAGTGCCTGCAGTGCTTTGGGACGTACCAGCCCATGGCTGTATCTGGAAAAGATGCACGCTGCTGGCCACGGCTAGAGGGGTTTGACCGTTGCAAAGAACAGGCGCTTGCTGGGCTGAATCAGCAGCCTTCAGCCCGAAACACCCTGAACGTTCAGAGCTGGGGCTCTGTGCCAATGCGCCAGGCATCCCCCAGCACAGGCTGGGGATTGTGGTGTTGTGCCTGTCACACCATGGGTCGTCCTGTGCCCTGGCATGCAGGGAGGTGCCCGTGCAGGGCTGAGGGTGGTGTTTCCTCTGACAAACCCCTCTCTCCCCACCCAATCTGTTTTTGGTGCTCTGGACCCACCAGCAGCTGGTGATGCTGGCTGGGGAAGGGGCCATGCTGGGGGCAGCACCTGGTGGCACACCCTGCCTGTGGTGGCTCTCCAGGCCAGTGTGGAGAAGGAGGCAGAGTTATCTTCTGCTGAGAGAATAGCTCCAAGTCACTCAAATTCTGTGGGTTTTGCTTTATGTTGTGTTCTTCAATGATTTATTTTTTTTAAAAACGTGCACAGCATGCGTCTGTCCTTCAGAAAAGCATCTTCCGCTCCAGCCCACTGCACGAGTTGCCCATTAGCCATGCCACCAGAAGGCATCGGCACTGGGCTGTTTGCCGGTGCAGTGCCAAGGAAGCTGGCGTGGGGCCTCGCCCGCCTTGCCAGTGGCTGGTGGAAGCCACGAGCTTGGTGCCCGTGGAAAGCTTGGGTGTGCTGTTTTGGAGCTGCTGCGGAGCTGGGACCTGCCTCAGAGCTGAGCCAGGGGCTCTAGGGGCATGAAGGGAACGTTCAGAGCTAAGGGGTGGTGGGGCCTTGGCTGCCCCTGCAGCAGCCAGAGCAGCGGCTCCAAGAGCCTGCGTAGCCCTGGGCTGCTGAGGGCCTGACACCTCTGCTGAGGGCTCAGCCCATGGGTGGTTGGGTGGTGACGTGCAGGGTGTGAAGGCACAGCCTTTGTGGGGGTGTCCGAACCCCCACCCTTCTGCCCTTCCCCACAGATGGTGCTGCTGTGGAGCACAGAGCTCTTCCCCTCCCCGGAGGACTGGCAGGACCTGGAGGGCTCCGTCTACAGGCTGGTGGTGATCCTCCTCTGCTGCCTGGCCACCCAGCACCTGCCCCACTTCCTGCACCCAGAGGAGAACCTCTTCCAAAAGGAGCCCACAGACCTGGCCTCCCTCTACTGTAAGGTGGAGAGCTTTGCCCGGGACCCCCGACGCTTCCTTCACTTCCATTTTGGCTTCCCTACGCGCACTGACAGCGGGCAGGCAGACCCTGGCACCCGGGCCCTCTTGCAGCTCCCGGCCAAGGATGGGTCCTACTGGGACACAGCCTACTTCGACGTCCTCCTCAGCCAGGTAGCGGGGACCGGGGACCCCGGGCTGGTCTCACAAGGCAGCACCAGAAACCACCTGGGCTGGGCAGCCTAGGACGCATGGGAATTTGCCCCCCAGAGCCCTCTGGCCCCCCAGAGCCCCCCAGCATGCGCTGCCCAGCCCCACCGCGGAGGCAGGGGGGGCTGGTGGGCTGGGGAGCCCTCTCCCCTCACTCCCCACCTCCCTCTGCTTAGTTCCAGGTGTACCGGATCCAGGACAGTGCACGCCACTCAGCAATGTCCCAGCTCCAATCCAAGATCCAGCGAGAAATCCCCCAGCAGAGCTGAGTGGGACCCTGCTGCCATGTCTTGACGCCTGGGGGGGCACGAGGCGAGCCAGGGGGCCGGGGAGCAGCATGCTGCCATGTCGCTTTATTGAGGAAAGATGGCACTGGGGAGCAAGTGCATGTCTGCTGCGGCCGGGTGGGGATGCACAGCCTCTTGGCTCCCCTGGTAGGGCTGGGTGCTGGGGCGGGTGTTTGATCCCTGGGTGCCTAATCTGGGAGGGATGGACGACGTCCTCTGCTGCTGGGCTCTGCTGCAGGGGCGGCCGAGGGCGGTGGTGGTGGGAGGGGAAGGGACCTGCGCTTGGATCCTGAATCCAGCCCTCAGCTTGCAGTGGGGCTGCCATGCCCTGGGGCCAGGGGAAGGGGAGGAGCAGGGGGGCCAGGCCATCAGGGTGAGGAGTGACCCCTGCATGGGGGACCCGGAGAAGGGGTTTTGAGCCACATCCCACATCTGCCGAGCTGCAGCCCTCACCTTCACGTTCCCTGCTCTTCCAGATTCTCCTTCCCACTCTGGTTTGGGTTGCTGGGTGCCGCAGCTTTTCCTGCCAGCTCCTTGGGGAGGGAGTGGAGCCCCTCTGCCAGCAGCCAGGCACAGGGGGAGTGCCGTGCTGCCCCATCCGGACCCCCCTTCGCACGGGTGCTCACAGCCTGCTGCTGCGGCGGCAGCACCCCAGGGCCTCTCGCAGGGCACGCAACACACGCTCCACGTTGCTGCTGCTCGAGTTGCAGCCCATGAGGCCGATGCGCAGGACCTAGGGAGGGAGGGTGAGTGTCCCCCAGAAGCACCCACCTTTGCAGCCATGCCCTGGCACCCTCTCCCTGCGAGCAGAGCGGCCGGGAGCAGAGCGCAGGCTCCGGCGCAGAGCAGGGGGCACACGAGGAGTGGCCGTGCGCACAGCTCTGGGCTTGCTCCAATGTAACGCGCGTTTCCTCTAAAGGCCTCATTCTGTGCACGCTTACTCAATTACAGCAGCAAGCACGTGTGGTTGGGAGCTGCTGTGCATTGCTGCAGGCGATGGGTGCACCCAGCCGCGTGTTTGCTGTTTGCAGCCAAAGAGCACCCGTGTGTCGCGGGGCAGGGTACGGATGGATCCGGCCGCAGCTGGGTTCGGTGCCCGGCAGCGGGAGGGGAGGACGCTGCCCACCTTGCCCACCGAGGGGCCCAGGCCCCCGGCGATCTCGATGGCGTGGTTGTCCATGAGAAAGGCTGTGATCTCCTTCCAGTCGTAGCCCGCAGGGACCCTGACGGTGGTGATGGTGGGAAGCCTCGCCTCCTGGGGACGGGGGAGACCGGGTTACATCTGCAGCTCCTGGCTGCAGCCCCGTCCCCCGCTGCCCCCAGAAGC